ACAAAATAGTTAGATTGCAGTTGTAGTATTGAATTTTTTTTATTGTGTACCCGTTCTCGTTGTTCACTTTTTTTTATAGTTTATATTTTAACTAATTATATTTCTTAGCTTTTGATTTACACATTTTTATTACATTTCCTGTTTGGTTTTTAAGTTTAATTTTCAATTCTTTTTTGTATTCCTTTGTGGATTTTATTTTTGGAAGTAGGCCTTTGTTTTAATCCATTTTTACTATATTCTACCCCAATATTTTTTATTGCCCATCCGATTTTAGCTTAGTTAGTTTATATATAAATATTCCTGTTCTAATATTTCAACGCGATTGTGGATTTTATATGGGTTATGTAACCTTTTCCACAACCCGCGACAGAAATGTCGAGGTAAATAAATATAATATAATATAGAATATATTGGGTGCTGCAATAGTACGTAGACAGATAAAAAGGTTCCCATTTTTTGTGGGTTTTTTTCTTCAGATGATGCACAAGCACCATTTTATTTGTCTTGCGTTTAACTGTTGGCATCTGTACAAATAGAGAAAAGAAAGTACTTTGTGGATTATATAACACTCGAATAAATAAATACTCACACACTGGCACACATGTATGTTCATATAGTGAATGGTTTGTACAAAGTAGAATTTATACAGTACATGAAACAAAACTTTAATTTGGTGTAAGATAGGACGGGTTGGGGGTTAGATCCAGACTTGGGCTATGTCCTAATGACTTGGCTATGGCGGTCGACAACAATGGGAAATGTGTCAATGGGAAATGGAGTAAGCCGCTGCCATAGACACATGTGAAATCGAAGCCATATAGCCAACTGTTTCTGCAGGATAACAACGTGTGATCAGATGATGAAAATGTGTCCAATCTCAATTTTTTGTTCTCTCTTTTTTTCATTTATCTTTTGTTTGAAAATACGAGAACAAAAGCCCCCCTCTTTTTTTCCCCAAATCTGGATCTGGCTTTCAAACATTTCCAAATAGTACTTCTTTATACACTGGAAAAAAAAAACAGACAATTTATAGCATTGCATTCAAATAATCAGTGAATACATTTTGTCCACAACAATTCTGCTCACAGGTTTTCCCACCAATTTGTGAACACATACGGGTGGGAAAAAAACATCCAAGACAGATGGCAATTTCGGGGATGATTACCTCATTACATATTTCCATGCAAACCAACATTTTTTAAATAGAGGGTAAAACTTGGAAGGGGAGGGCGTGGTCGACTGACACAGTTTTCAAGAGCAAAACTCCCCCTTACACTGCTCATAAAATGCTGATCTTCATTAGGAAGTTTCAGATATTTAACCAAATCTTTAATTTATGAAATTGTGAACTTGCAGTTATCCACTCAAATGGAACACTTGCAAAAGTTTTTTTTCAAGGCCACCCATGTCACCTGTCACTTTAAAATCAGCAGGAAGTCAGAAATGTTCTGGTTCAGTGGGGCAAAACCAAAATTTGAAGGGGTGGTAGCTTTTTGTTTTCTGGTAAGCCTAAATCTGCAAGTACTGTTCCACCTTTTCCAGTTGTTTTCGTACAATTAAACATCGTAAAATGTTATTTTTATCCCATTTTATCACTTGACTGTTCAGTCACTGTAATACAAAAGCAGCATCTAAATTATATGCCATTTAATAAAAAAAATAAAAAAATTGGTCTCAAAACTTAATTTTAGTTGTTTTATATTTCCGTAACTGAACTTCTATCACCCCAAATGGAATAAATCATCAGACAACTTTTGTTTGGCATAATCCAGAAATAAAACATCTCAATCCCTAATACACAAAGTCTGACTTTATGCTCATTTTGTGGCGACAGGTCATCGGTCACATGTTACTCTTTTGATAATTAAAGGGAATATACATCATTTGCTTTTGCTGTAATTTTCAGAAATGGATGGAATTGGGGGGTTGGAAATATATAGCAAATATAGTTACACTGAATTTTTTAGAGGTTTTGGGTTCGAAAATGCTATAAAAACCAAGAAAAACAATCATTTTCCTGTAGTCTGGTTCCCCTGACTCCATATAAGAAGAAACAGAGCAGTTTACATACATTGGGGAATTGTAAGGTCAGGGAACCAGTGTAGCTGGCTTGTACCCGTTCATAGGTGTGTAATCAATTGCAAACAAGTGCGATGGTCAATTGGGGCCAGTATTTGAAAAAAAGTCAGTTTTTTCCAACGCTTGGTCGGCCGACCAGCGTTGGAAATTGATACAAAAATACCACTTTTCTTGAAAATGAAAGTATACCAGTTGCCATGATTTTACAGGATGCTTTACACTGTCATTCACTAACAGTCCAGCAAGGTATTTCAAAATGATTTGGTAGTTTTATTTTTTGATGTTTGCAAATGTTGTATTTTCCCTTTAACTTATCGAACATAAATACGCATTATATCATTCAGCCAAACTTTGGCTGGCTGTGAACGAAGATAATGTGTATAACAAGTTGTCAAATATAAAAAGAAATTGCGTTATACTTCAGTTTCTATAAACTACGACTTAAACAAAACAAGTTGCACTGTCAGTTATTCATTTTTTTCCCTCAACTGCAACAAGTATATATAGATTTTGGAAACATTTCAGAGATAAAAAGTACTCACATTCAGCCTTGGAATTATACATACAGCCTTAAATTTTTGTTTTACAATAGAACTTTTTCTGAAGATTTAATAATTGTTTCGCAATTAAATATGTACAGTCTCAATACTTTTTTGATTAATACATAATCAACATAATATCATTTGGTTTTGAAGATGGAATGTAAATTAAGGCTGTAAATTGTGAAGAAAAAAAGGAAATAAGAACTTTTGCTAACTGCGACCTTAAAATCGTTTAAATCTCAGACCCTAGCAGTGGCCAGAATATTGGCAACGGCGCCCTCTGTGAGAAACGTTTGATCATGTGAACTAACATGGCCACCACGGTGCACCAACTGGATTAACTTGCACAAATTTGCATAATTCGATGCAGATTTTTAAATTTTTTTTGGACACTGCGTATTGGAAAGAGAAATTTTAGAGTGCATCTTTTTTTGCATATTATTAGCATCACAGACGGCATTATGCCATTCTTTTTAAAAAAAATTTGGTTCTCACTTCTGACTTATCCTACTTTCTGCTCCCAACCCAACAAAATAAAAACTTGTTTACTACCGCCGACCCTGTCTGGATCCTCAACTCACACAAAAAAAAAATGAAGAAAAAAAAAAAATGCCAATTAAAACCAAATTTAGGCAATCAGGCTCTATGTTAAAGCTGAAACAAATTTTTTTTACAGTGTAAAGCAAAATGACGGAATCCCAGAAGGTGTGAGGATGTTGCTTCTCATCTGTTACAACTGATAATGTAGTAACCAACTAATAATGTATCACCAATCGATAATGTCAGAAAAATTGACGGATGCTGTATCACTAACCGATAATGTAACAACAATCGACTGATAGTGTAGTACATTTTTACTACACTATCGGTCAATTTCTGTTACATTATCGGTTAGTGATACAGCATCGGTCAATTTGTGTGATATTATCGGTCGGTGATACATTATCCGTTGGTTACTACATGTACATTATCAGTTGTAACACTCATCACATCACAGGTCTATAGTATACCTTGACTGGTATGTCAGTATTGTCATCTGCCACTACAGCCACAATGATAACAAGCTGCACTGTGCAGATTAATTGGATTAATTGAATCAACTACAGGGTGGTTAAAAAAAAAGGACACCCACTTTTGACAGCGATTTCCACCTACTTAATGAACTTATTTTAATTATTTGTTCACATACATGTAGTAGTAAAGTATAGACCTTTAATCATGCATGGTGAGAAAAGCTCAGTAAAATTTGCAAAAATACTGATATTATGCTAATTTGAATACAAGTCACCAATATCAGTCTTGTCCACGGGTTATTTTATGTAAATTGAACATTTCCGTAGTTCATAAAACTTTAAAAACCTGCCTACCAAAAAATATTTTGCCCTAGTAACTTTTATTGAAGCTGTCCAATTATTCATGTCAGTGTTAAGATCATCTCCTCAATGAGCCGTCAGCTTAAGTTCATTGTTGCATAACATTACATAACATAACAATCAAATGTCATGCCCTTTCAAATGAAGCTCCAATAGCTGAGCTCAGTCAAGCGAAGCAATGTATACCTCCATGGACAAACAGGTTTTGCACATGAAATGTTCAAATTAGCATAGCTCATCGACAAAATGAGCAAATGCAATGATTGTTTCGTCACATTTGCTTAAAAGCCAGTACTTTAATAAGGGAATAAATGTGTGCTCCGGAGGTTTTTATCACTCTGTTTAATACCACTTAGAGTCTGGGTGCTGATAATTACCCGAGCCGGAGGCGAGGGTAATTATCAGCACCCAGACTCTAAGTGGTCTTAAACAGAGTGATAAATACCGACGGAGTACATATTTATTCCCATTCATAAATACCTTTTCGGCCAAAAAAAAATCATATAATTCGTTCAAAACATCCCGATTTGTTCAACAAATTCACTTTAAGCTTTTTGAAACATCCCTCCTGCAAAATAATGGAGTGTTCAGCTGGCGAGTAAGATGAAAACAACCCTTTTATGGAGATTGACGCGCGCGTATCATGTTCTACGCGATGTCGCGCAGAACGCACCTGGCGCGTTGCGTTTTGAATTTAGAACTATAAAATTCTAACTCCCTGGTAGTGTTGCGCATGCCTACGTGAGGATTGTGAACGTTCAACCAATGAAACGATAAGAGGCACTGGATTTTTAGGAGTCCACATTTTATTGTGACACTGGAAAAGTGTTTAAGACCAGCTAGCCATGTCTTTATCATCCGTTTAATACCGGCCACGTGACGGGCTCTCGACCAATAGGAATGGCTAAACTGTCTGAGGTATTTATGAATAGCTACTAATCGACAGTTAAAAATGATTTTTAGAAATAGGTGAAAATTGCTGTCAAAAGTGGGTGTCCTTTTTTTTAACCACCCTGTACATCCTGCCAAAGATGGCATTATTATTTTGTTCAGTGACATCAACTCATGATATACTCATAAACACAACTAGATACAATACGCACTTGGTATCAGTTCAGTTAGCCATTACTGGTGCAACAGCATTTTTTTCTTCAGATTTCTTCCCCGACCTACCACACCCTTCAGGCAAAAAATATGAGAACCATAGAAATAAAAAATGGATGCCCTAATGTATGGTAATTTGTTGGGATTTTGTTTTTGCATTAAGTGCAGAGAATGGAGAATTTTAAGTTACCGGTATCTCCCATGTTAGCAGAATTGTTTAAGTTCAAAGTTTTGAGTAGATTTCGAATAGAGAGTACAACCTTCAAAAACAAGGCACGGTTTTTTTTAGCCTCTTTTGATGAGTCACGTGCAAGCGAAAGATTTCAGCTTAATACCAAACCAAAATGTTTCCAACCTTTAAAAAAACATGTAAAGACAAACAGAACTTACAAAAATAAAAACAGACACAACAAACAAAGTTGAAAGTTTGCACTTTGTGGGAACAGCTGTTCTTTCCTGTGCGCATCCTCCCACTGGAACTAGCCGTTATCCTGCTCTACCCAGCCTACGATCTTCCCTTCCCAGCCGGGCAGAATTGCGTCATCATCTTCAACCTGCAATGCAAAACAAATACAATTTGTGTAAATACTTTTTTCTTAAGCTTGAACTCTTTTAGTCAATCAAGGCAATTGGAGAGTTTTCAGAAATGGTAGAAATTTACATAGAAATGTTGTGGAATTCAAAAGTTTATGCAGAATTTCTGCAAAGGAATTTCATGTCGGAGAAAAGATAAAGAGAACTTAAAGGTGCATACCCCATGCTCGGTTCTCCTAATAGATTTTCACATAGTATATTTGATTGTTTAAATGAAAAAAAACCTACTTTATTCCAACTTTGGGCATCTGCAACCCCCTGAAAGAGTGCTTAATAATTCAAATAACCTAACATTGGTGGATTGTTTTCATTCGATGTCTCATTCAAAAGGGAATAACTTTATATTGCCAGGATAATAGCAAAACAAAAAACAAAACAAAAAACAAATCTAGCACAGGGAATATATCTTTAAGAAATAAAAACTACAATCGAAAATCTGGCTTCCTTTTATTTATTTTTTGACTGACTTACTTCTTCCTTGATTGTTCCAAATTCTGGATCCAGAGCTTTGAAGTGATACCGGTAATTGCCTTCCCTGTCAAATATCTGCTTGAAATCTGCAAGGGTGACTTCACCAAGCCTATGGAATACCAACCAGGATATAAAGAATATAAAAGAGAACAATATCCATATACTGACCAGCAGCAGTGCACATCTATATGTGTTGCGATCAAGCTAAATAAGGCAAAGTTTGGGCAAGGAACATTAGTCGACTAGTGCTTGATTTGTGACGTACCTTACGCCTGCGCACTGAGAGCCACGTGCGAACGTCTCTCGTCAAACGCTGGTCAAAATGTCATCGCAAAACTTCTGGATCCTGGCTCTCTGCTAGCGTTATGAATGCGCGCAGCTATTGGTTACCAGCGAAGCAACCAGCCCCAGTAGGCTGGTTCCAAATAGTCGACTAGCGTAGTCAACCACCGTCGACTAGGCAGAGTTCGGGCAAACGTTAGTTAATCATTGGTCAACTATAGTCCTTGTGCGAAGTTGTTTGTCGACCCCGGTCAAAGGTTTTTTTTATTACCGATTTGAAAAGAGCACAATCTCAGCATTAATGCCGTGAAAACTGCATGCTGATACCATCTTTAGTTCAAAAATTATGAAAGTCGGAACACCAAGAGATGTGATGAAGTGATGTGATGAAGTGGTCCTATTTTGGTCTGAATCTCCAAATAAAAATTCCGGGCAAACAACTCATGTAGCTTGATCGCATCACATATTCCCTGAAATTTCAAATGTGACTTCCCAAGCCAATAGAAAACAAACCCAAATGTGAAGCAACACTGACAACAATATGAATGCTGTGCATATATTGATCAGGAAGTGGGGTACTAGTGCCATCTATGTGCCCTCAAATCAATAGGTCACCATGATGGAATAAATAGTGACAATGTGATAGTTTGCATACCCTTTCCCCTTTAGTGTACTTCATTGCTCGTCATGCCAAATTGACAAAGCTTTCACACACTACAGTGTATAGCAGGATGCAAGTCCTAATTCATAAAAAAAACATCCATGGGAGTGTTTTGAACCCCCCCCCTCACAACAAAGCATCAGGAGATAGTCGAATCAGCCAACATCTCAGGACCAGTAATTTTGCACTAGATCCCCTCAACTCATGGTGTTTTTGTGATTTACTACACCTCATAAATATTCATGATCAAATTGGAGCGCGTCATTGGCTGATTCCGCCGCGCGAAGTAAAAATGATACGCGCCCAGGAGACGTCATCCCGGTGAGTATCCAGCTCGCTGCCGTACGTTTTTTTTTTCTGGTAGCACCAAAAATTCCCTCTGGAACCCGTCTGTTGTTGTAATCTTGTACCTACTGCAGTACAGACACATTAAGGACTATTAAATTGACTGACTAAGAACTTGAATATCTTGTACTGAATAAAGATGTACAATCTACGAAGGCTGTTTTCGACAAGGCAGTGGGGCTACTACAAACGCACTTAACGCAGTGAGGCTTATAAATATTTATGAGGTGGAGTAAAACTAATACAGCATGAATTATTTCTGGAAAATACTTGGAATTACTGGGCCCTCGGTGTAGGTCAGCTTGACTACCGCCAGATGTGAACACCTCGGGACCAGTAATTCCCACTATGTCCCCTCAACCCATGGTGAATTTGTGATATAACCTACTTTTTAGGAATGGAGTTCATGAATGGAGTAACTGTCCTCTCGGTGAAGTACAAGACCTTGGTACAAGCCGAGGGGTTGCTGCTCGTGGAGGAAATGGAGGAGGCGCGGGGCTTGCCATCTGGGGGGTGGGGTAAGAAGGAGACAGAAACGATGAGGAATACTGACAGACAGCCCCAGACACAGACCGAAAAAATGTCAGGTTTAACCACGACTCAACTGAAACATGGGCAATTCTGTACATTTTGGGTCCAACTTTGTTTTTCCAGTCCCTGTCATATCTGACATCTATGACTTTTGCAATTCTGATGCACTCCCTACTGGAGTCATCCTCAAGAGATGATTATGAATAGCAAACTGCCTACTCAACAAATAACTTATTAATGGAAATCATTCTTACTTGGGATGGCAAATTACACATAGGACCAGAAAAAAATGTACACATACGGTGAGTCAAAAAAAGCGGAACCCAAAACCCCAAATGATCATTCATATTTAAACAAAATATGTAGCACCAAACATAATAATGACTGGAAAGCCAATTTCATAAGCTACTTTTAGATGCAAAAATTACTGCAATTGCTCAATCTGTTCAAAGAATATCACCATTTAAACACAATGACCCTAAAACCACTTTCATCCAAAAAAGTGATTTTAAGAATCGTCGTCACAATTGTCTTAAAACATCACCAGCGACAAAACCTCAGTTTAAAAGTGAAAAATATTCAACAAAACCCTTTTGAAGGCCCGTCTCACCCTGTACAATTGAGATGTCACCAAAAATGACAAGGACATTTGCAGCTGTGACATGTAGGTCATGACTTGACTTCGGGACTGGATATGACTTGTTTTGGGCATGTGACAGACAACTAGTTGTTCAGCCAACAGCTGGATTCGAACCCCTGACCATCCAAAGGTTTTCAACAATTAAATCAAGGGGCCTCTGGAATTTAACTGCCGACTTGAGTTTACTTACGGTTTGAGTGTTGATGAGATGAGCGATGGTTGAGTTCTTGTGAGTTACTGTCTGTTGAGTATCGCCTCGATAGGCTCTCTGTGGAGCTCTAAATAACACCCAAAAAGAACCATTTTGATTTCATCAACTACCATTTACAAGAGTACATTTGGGTTATTTCACTGTAAGTTGAAGGGCATGTGTGGTCACATGATTTTATTATTTCCAGGGATGGCAGTGACTTTTGCTACAGGGCCTGGAAGAAGGTACACACACACAAATTTATCGCAACACACCATAAACACATTGCAAAACCATTAAACACATTGCAGTATGTGACCCACTCCAGGAAAAGGTAATATAACTTGCGCTGTGCCTTTACGTGTAATGGCCAGCTTAACATTGAGAGGGTGAAATTTTCTGTCAAAATCCAAATTCCTTTTTTTTGTCTTAAATGACATCTTTGATACCTAGGGTATAAGGATTCATTCACAGAAATGTTGATTTCGATGAATACAGGGAACAAATAACCTTATTTTGTGTGCATTGTTCTCTTTTTTAGACATCCAAAACTATCATTTTAATCAATATGCGAATTAGCCAAAGATTGTAATCTGGTTTCAAAAAGTCTCTTCTTCCCAAAAAACATTGAAAATAATCATTGTAGAATCAATATCCAAAGTTTAAAAGTGATAGTAAAACAGAAACATGATGGTTGCTAAGAGATTAAAAGTGAGCTTTTCATGCCCAAGACTACAACAGAGACAGCTATTTCAAAGCCTGTTTTTTCAGTTGTGTAATTTGAACTCCATGGAACTAACGCAAGTTCGTTATATCTCCACAACGAGATGGGCTATAGAGGTGGGTCATATACCAAATGAAAGCTTACATTGTGGGCTTTCCAGTATTGTATATAAGTTGAATTTTATTTTTTACGACTTTTATCACCTTTTCCTGGAGTATATGTCTACTATGAACTTACAATTCACACATCAGTGTATTGAGCTAGCATGGTGATTGCCATGGAGCGCTGTGGTCACAATTTTGTTCACTGCGCACGCTACACAACAATTTATTTTTCCAGCCTGAGAAGGGATGGAATGTCGGAGTTTGCTTCCGAAACATGAAGAAGCCTGAATTCAGGCTACAGCCTGAAAACTGTCATCCCTGTTTCTCTGTAGCTGAGAGAGGGTGCTTTACACAAAGCCAAAGCCGCGTCCTAATTACATGGCTGGGACTTGCAATTACAAATGCGTCTATGAAAGCCTGCTGAAGCTGCTTCCCACAGACATGTGTTCTACCAGTCGTAACCACAAAATTCACACGCAACCTTAAAGCCAGAGTCCATCATATGCAGCTATCCCAAAAGTAACGGGGGTAATTATTGCTGAAAAACATACTTGGTTGAAAGATAGTAAGGGGACTAAACTCCCTGTGAAATTAATCTTTCTGGCAAGCTGTTATTTTGAAGTAATCAACGAAAGAAGGCCTTTCCAACGGTGCGTCTTAAGAAGCACCGTTGGAAATTCCGTTAGTAGTTCGTTTTTTTATTCGGCGAAGAGCTCGCAAGCATTGACATGACGCGCAGTTGCTATAATTCGTCGGATCGGTGCGCAACATCGTGACGCTGCAATCGGCTCAGTGAGAACGTGTCTCAGACGCTGAATTCAGGCCCAATGCAAAACATGATTCAGCAATTTTTGATTTGAAATCGAGATCCTAGAATGTTGTTTTTCTCGAAATGTACAGCTGAAGCTGAGCTGAAACTTCATCAGGTTAGTTGTTCAGCAACCTTCTTTAGATTTTGAGCACTTTTATTGCTTCAAACGAACCAAATGCACAAATTACAAATGATGGACTACACCTTTAAACTGGTAACTTAGCAGCCTGTGGTTCTTCTCGGGTGAGCCCCCCTCCCCCCCCCCCCCCCCCCCCCCCCACGTAATTTAAAAAAAAATATGTCCAACTTACAGTGTCGCTGTCTTTGTGTATGCCACGGTGTTTTAACATTGATAAATGGTCCATTAATGTACAAATACCCTGAAAAGAAATAATCACATAAAACATATGTTAATCTTCACAGTATTGAATTAACAAGTTAGCTTAATGAAAACAATGCATTATTATGTTTGAGTTTATATCATATATCTTGCTGTATGCAAGCGGTTCAAATGCCAAAACAACAACAAAATATGCTTTCAGATACGACACACATAACTCTCTTGCAAACTCAACTAGCACAAGTCTGTAGCTGAAACTTTTCATATTGCAAGATTTGTTAGCATTTCTTAACATTGCAAAGTGTGCGACTTGGTCGTTAGGACTAACCTGCTCTAGCGAGTCTAGAGAGTGGTGGTTGGGGTCATGGCTGCTCATGTTGGACCTCAGGCTCCGCAGGGAGCTTCGCATCGTTTGTAATTCCTCCGAGCCCTGCGAAATCAGCATAAACGTAAAGTCAAACATTTGCAAATTAACAAAAGTTTCAAAGGGGGTTTGGGAGAGTTCGTTTTGGATCCATGTACTTGGTAATTGGTTTGTTCTTCTCTTAAGGACTTCCACAAGGGAGTATAACTAGGAGGCCAGAAACACCGGGGCAAGCCCCTTCTCTTAGCGATAAGTGTTACTGGGTTCTTTTACTTGCATTAGGCTTTATACAACACACGGGACCTCCGGCTTAATGTCCCATCCGAAGGATGAAGCAAAATGGTTGAGTGCCTTGCTTAAGGGCACAAGTGTCCGGCCCGGGTTCAAACCCACGCCACTGTTGCCTCTGAAACACCAGAGCATGAGTCCGGTGCACCAGAGCATGAGTCCGGTGCTCTTAACCGCTAGGCCATGACACTCCACTATGTAGGTCAAAGTTCACCATACCTCTTTGAATGGGAGTACTGCGCCGCTGCGCATTCGATCTTCCAGCCTCATCAACTGTCTGTCTTGAGAAGTGATGTGAGCGGCAAGATTCGCCTGCAAAAAAAAATTGAAACAAATTCAAAGTCACTGACTGTACAATACAAGGCTTGCCTTGTCCAACTGACCTGAGAGTCTCAATTAAGGACAGTACTTATAATAATAATAATTACCCTGGATTGGACATTTGGGAGACATCCCCATAGACTTGTGCACAAAATGTTTCAAACTTCAATGTGCCCCAACCCAATATCCCTTGTCCTTTTTCCACGAATTTCGGTATGTTTACTTATTAGACCACGAGCAACAAATATAATCTTATTGCGACGATAAAATTTTGCCTCTAAAGGGGAGCTGTGACATTAGGGAGACATGACCTAATGACCTACATGTAAGTCTCCCATCGTGCGAAGAAATTACGATAACGTGTCTCTTTATTGGTACCATTTTATGTATAATATTAATAGTGGGTATTTATAAAGCGCGTGTATCTACCAGGCAGTGTTGGAGCAAAGGCTTTGACCCTCAAGGCCAAGGCCAAGGCCAAGGCTTCGACCCTCAAGGCCAAGGCCAAGGCCAAGGCTTTGACCCTCAAGCCTCGAGGCCAAGGCCAAGGCTTAACCCTCAAGGCCAAGGCCAAGGCCAAGGCCCTGTTTTATGAAATGACCACTGATATAGAACTAATTATAGTCACATGAGTGACACATCATCACGTAAGGGCGGATCCAGAATACAATTTTTTGGGGGGGGGGCAAAGAAATTTTGGTCCCCCCCCCAAAAAAAAGTGGGTCAAAAAATTACGGCTTTTTTTTTCGGGGCCCGCTTAAGGGCCCCCCCAAAATTTTTGGATTCGAGATGCTTTGTGGTGCGATTTGAGGCAATTTCTGACCATTTTAACCGATGTTTTTTGAGGTAAAGATGGTGGTGTACTCATTGCCTGCCTTTATTACGACGTCACATAAAAAGAGATGGTTTCGGGGGTTTTTTTTGGGGGGGGGGGGTCATGGCCCCTTTTGACCCCCCTGGATCCGCCCTTATGATCACGAATTGCTTGTTACGAAGAACAACATTTATTTAATTGCAATCAACATGCTCGCAAAGGCCTACACCGTTTTATGACTGCACTGTATCTATTAAAGTATAAGTTCAGGTCTTCAATATGGTTTAACTAAACAAAATAATGATTTACTTCTATATTGACACACAATTCTCCCAAGTGTAACAAACGGGGGATCCAAGAAACTGTAAACCCTTGGGAAATGTTTATTTGCTGGCCCAACATGGTCAGAAATATCAGCATTATCTAAAACAGATACATGCAAATCTTTAACACTTATCAGGGAGACATATACAACCAATCAGATCTATTCAATAGTTATATGCAATTAAAGTGATCATCTCATTAGCCCCACAAGTGTACGGAATATTTTTGCAGCAAATTAATCTACTACAATGGTAATAAAATGTGATGCTACAAAAGTGGAAGTGTGCCCAACACACAAATCTATAGGGTGATTCCCTCCTCCATGGTAATACGATTAAAATGGTGACAGCAAAATTTCGAACAGATTTATCTGGAAAATGCAAAAATCTATGGGCCTTGAAGAGCCTTGACTCAAAATTGCAAGGCCCTGAACCCTCAAGGCCAAGGCCAAGGCCAAGGCTTTTTCCCTCAAGCCTCGAGGCCAAGGCCAAGGCCCTACAATCCAGCCTTAAGGCAGCCTTAAGGCCAAGGCCCAGCATCAAGGCACTACATCACTGCTACCAGGACTAGTGCTCAAGGCACTGCATCATTATTACCACTGTTCATTGGGCCCATGAAACATTCCAAATACCGTCTAAGCTCCCTGGGGAGTATACAGCTCGATGCTGCCTGTTAGGCGCAAGGAAGCTAAATCAACCACAATAACCATCTCTGCCCTCACAGGTACCCATTTACTCCTGGGTGGAGAGAAGCAATGAGTGACAAAGTGCCTCGCCCAAGGGCACACACACCATGACACCAGGCTGGACTCAAACCAACAACCTGCACTCAGTCAGTCAGTGCATCAGTCAGCAACTCGGTCGGTCGGTTGGTCGGTCTACAATTTTCAACTGAGTATTAAACAATGTAACTATGTGACCATTTCACCCACCTCAGCCATATTGACGTTGTCCAAGCGTTGCGTCAGTTCCTGTAGCTGCGTCTGCAACCCGTAGTCTGTAGAGTTGGTCTTGTTCTCTAGCTGGTTCTGTAGCTCAGTCTACTCAACAATTAAAAAAGTAAGAAAGACGTGAATCCATGGTTCTTTGGCAAGCAGGTTTTTTTGGTCACATTAGACTTTGATATTGGTTCTCCTGCTCAGTCAACTGAAAACTGATACTGAGATTCATTGCTCAATTCCGGTTAATACAACCTTGCAGTTAAGAAGAAAAAAAAAATTCTAGCATCAACATCCAACTCAAAAATTCATGTTCTAACTTTTTAAAATAAGACAAAACAAAACAAAACAAAAAAGACTGAAAAACAAGACTCTGGTTCCTACTTCAGATACAAAGCGAATTTCGATGTCAGGAATTGTTTCCTCCAAAATAAACAATTAAAACTTTGAAGTATAACCACTGTTCGGAAACCGACAAATGTCTCTAACAGTGTTACATTGTCGTGTCCTCCTTTTGATATGGTCTAATTTCTCAGCGAACCTTGAATCCCTTTTACCAGATGAATGGCCAAACGTAAACTGGCAGTGACTCATTGCATATTCATGTGACCTTCAACCCTCCGACCCCCACTGACCTTGAAGGAGTTGAGTTCCTGCAGCTGCTGTGTCAGACTCTCTATCTGCTCCTGCTGCTGTTTGAGCAGGTCCCCCTTCTGGTTCATCTGCCGGGTCAGGTCAGAGGTCATGCGCTCCTTCTCCTCCAATCGCCTCTTGAGATCCGTCTGTACGATGCCAGGGGGAAAAAATATTCAAAACTTGAAAAAAAAAACAGGTGACAGTCAATGCATACTTGGAATGAATCAATGTGACATTCGACGGTGTTGTCTCGTCACAAGTTCATCACAACTCCGATCAAAAGTAAATCAACTGTCAATTCGCTAGTGTGGTCACAAATAACATCGGATGAACGATAAAAAGGAGTGCCTTAGTCACAGTTCGATTATAGGAACACTGATCACTTCGTAACAACCTTGAACTGAAGTTTAACTCAGCATCAGCTGAAAATGGTTCCTGCTGGTGGTTTCAACCAGATATACCGTACTTTACCTGTCACCACACAATAAGCATAAAATCGAACATTGCCGTTTGCAGTACTGTGGGGCAACCCAAAATTTGAAGGCATGTTAAATTATTTGTTATCAAGTTAACCTCAATCTGTAGGTCCTATTCTACCGTTTCCAAATTGTTTGCTCCATTACACATCTTTAAATCTACCTTCATCCCGTTTAATTATCTAATTGCAGAGATGCCAACTTTATAATAATAATAATAATAATTTGGGAGGCTAATCATCCTTACTCGCAGCTGGGATGCTGAATTGCGAAGGACGCGGCTACAACGTGGTTGGGCCGCTGGCACGTAAAGGCGCCTATGGCTGCCGGCCACATCGACCCATATATGACCACGGAGCACAGCCTGAGATCAAAAGTGTTTGAATTTTCCGGAGGGAGGAAAACCGGAGGGCCCGGAGAAAAACCCTCGTGGCACAGGAGAGAACCAACGCACAACTCTACTTTACAGACTACAAAATAGTAATGATTCTTCCTGCACAGAGTAATGCTAATGTAAATACATAGGACAACAGTCAAGTTTAAGAGTAACCACAGTACTTTTCAGAGTAACCACAATGTTGGCATATAGAACAGCTGGAATTTTCAAGAGTAGTAACATGCCTCAAAATCCTAATAATTACTCCAAAAGAGTAATGGTTGGCATCTCTGAGATTGTTCATTCACTGTAATACGACAGCAGGATTTTTAAATGCCATTTTTTTAAACATTTCTTTTACAACTTCAGTTTTGGCAGTCTATATTTCCATTACTAAACTCAGTATCCCCAAATGTTGAACACCATTAAAAAGCTCTTGCTCTGTAGAATCCAGAAATCCAAAAATCTCAATCCTTTATAAGAAAGTTTGACTTCATGCTCGTTTTGTGATGACAGGTATGACATATTGGCTTGAATGTGATCTCGCAAGGCAAATAGTTTGGAAACAATGAGAGTTACAGTCTTTCCTTTTGGTTCAATTACATGCAACCACAAGAGACTACAAATGGGTCTGCGGCTTGATCCAAAGCCACAGGCAAACCGAGTTTTGAAAAAATGATCTCAGCATGCATATTAATAATGGATACTAACGCTGTGCATACAGGACGAGTCCAAAAAAATGAAACCCAAATGGCAGGACCAATTTTTGAATAAAGTTTTGCCTGTAGCACTTTCCAAATCTAGGATATGAAAGCCCAGTCAACAATTTTTTTTTAGAACAAGAATCATTCAAATCACTCATGTACTTTTCAAGTTACGGAATTTTGTACACAAATAGTGTTTCAAATATTGTGAGGATAGGTGTTCTTTCAGCAAAACAAAAACAATTCAAATAGGGATGCATGTGAATTGTTTTTCGTTTTGCTGAAAGAACACTTACCTATTTTGTGATCGGTGAACAGAACTTTAAAGCGGTGTTTGTTTTCAAAATTCGGTAACTTAAAGCATATGAGTGATTTGAATGATTCTTGTACTAAAAGAAACTCATTGATATGGGCTTTCATATCCTAGATTTTGAAGGTGCTACAGGCAAAACTTCATTCAGAAATCGGTCCTGCCATTTGGGTTTCAGTTTCTTCGAGCCACCCTGTATACTTTCTGCCTTGTTTTTCCCGGAACCAGTGAGTTAGCGTTGCGCTCAGGGATCGGGGTTTTGTTTACCTTTTCGGCGTCTTGGTTCTGTTGGGTGAAGCCCACCCTCAGAAGCTCCGCCTTCATTTGGAGGAGGGCGTTATCTTGCTCGGTCAGACGCGACTGCAGCCCAGCCTGTTAGGGGAACATGGGGGGTTAACATAGTCTAGACTAAAAAGCGTTGCGGCACAGAGCAGGATTAATAGAAATTTTGACAGCAGAAAACAAAAAATTGCCAAGCACAGTAGATTATTTGCGTCACCAGCAAAATTCGCCATCAACGTACCGGGTAATTATATACATGGGAGTGTTAATATAGCAAGGATTTCAGGTGCTTGAGACTATTATTCACTTACCTTCAAGTTACGTTATTTCGCTTTTTAATGCTTGCAAATAGTTGTAGATTGCCTAAACAAGACATGTTTTCAGGGGAAATTTGCTCAGCATGTGCATTTTGCTAGTAGAGCAACATTATTCCCTTCATGAAACCGCACAAAAATTAAAAATGTTCCCTGCAAGAAATTCCTTTTGTTCATGTTTTAGATCATTTGGACGAGATGAGCAGTTCTTTAAGCAGGGGCAGATCTCATGAAGCTTTTCAACAGAAAATAGCGCTTAGCAAGTTTAAATACCAGACAAAAGACGCAAGCAGTACAAAATGGTTGATAACCAGTAACTTTGTCCTCCCAAAAATTATACATTCTCTGCAAATATCTGTGTTTTAAAAGCTCCATGAATTTGACCCAAGGTAGACTATTACGGCCGGATCATTCTTGGTGCAAAAACAGAATAAGAACACAGATTTGTGACATCACGACAAGTGAAATTTGCACTTAAGTTGAACGTGTTTCAACTTTTGGTGTAATTCATGGCGAATGTTTTCTGGCGTAAAAGTTTGATTTGCATTCGCTTTCACGTCAAGTATAAACCGGCTATATGGATGGCGTTAGAGCTGACTGATGAGCAAAATAGAAGCCATTTGTGAAGCAGCACTGCACATGCACCCAAGTCATACCGGTACATACTGCTCCTTCTACCCACGGGGTAGCCCAGGTTGGACTCCTCCGCTGTGTACACGAGACAGAATCCAGGGTATGAACGTCTGCTGCCATGGCGAAAAAACTATAACACATTTTTTTTCACATTTTAAACTGATGGAGGAAGCGGAAATTTCATTTACATATTCCTTGTTTCCAGAATTATGTAAACGCTGGGTTTGGAAAAGGTAAATATGTCCATGGGTGGCATTTTTACAGAAAACAAACCGCAGATCCAACCTTTCATTGAAAACATCCTCAGTACGAACACGTCGTGTGAAGACTGATGCGAGCGCGTGCATGCATGTACACTGCACAACATGGTATAATGACTGTGTTGCACGCACGCTGGAGCGCGTAAGTCTTCACATGGGGAGTTCGTACTGAGAATGTTTTTAACGAAAGCGTAGATCTGTGGTTTATTTTTCGTAAACATGTCGTCCACGGATATATTTACCTTTTCTAAGCCCAGCGTATGCATAATTTTGGACACAAGGAATATGTTAACGAAATTTCAGCTTCCTCCATCAGGTGAAAATATGAAACAAATATGTTATAATGTTTTTCGCTATGGTAGTAGAATTAATACCCTGGGCGTCAGTCGTAATGCAATGATGACGTCGTACAACTTGGGCTACCCATGAGGTTTTTTAATTCAGGGTTCCTGCACTTTCAGGACAATAAATTTCATGCTTTTTCCATAACTTTTCCATGACGGATTAATGAAAATCCGTGACCTAGTTTATAAAAATGCAGATCCAAACTGTAAACATTTTTAATGGGGATATCACACAGCAATCAATTTGAAATCAAAATGCCTGTATCAGCAAAATTTATCACATTTTGTCTGATATAAAAATTAGATTTCAGATGCTAAATTATGAATATACTGGTACCAGGCATGCAACTGGGAATTCAGAAAAAACGAGGAAATTCCAAACCACACAAGATTTGTACAGTGTTTTTCAATTTGTAATGGCATTCATGAGAAGTAAAAAACAAGGAAATCAGCGGATCTGAGGAAAAGTTGCATGCCTGTGGTACTAAGTATAAGAACTTTAAAAAAAATTGGTCCTCAAAAAATTCCATGAATTTTCCACGACTTTTTGTCATTTTTACAAATGTTCCTCACTTTTGCACGCCTGATTGAAACTAAAATTTCATGACTTTTTAAGCTTTTTCCCAGTTATGAGTTAACATTTCATAACAACATGAGCGCATTAGTTAACACATGTGCATCATAAGTAACACATGCGCATACGAACGCTTGCAGCGTGCACACGCGTGTGGCGCCACCTCCATAATGGCGATCGCCTGTTTCGTTGACAGAGCGCCCTCACCTTAGTTCCCTGTAGATTGCGACAATCCTGCTTGACCTTAGAGAGTTCCCCTTTGAGCTGGCTGCACTCCTCTTGGCTCTGATGAAGCCTGGCTTGCAGGATGACCTGCAGGACATGTCAAAGGGTTAAAGGTTAAAGGACAGACAGTAGAAGTCCTTTTAGACTGAAGACCTTTCTTCGCATATGATCTGATCATCGGATCCTCCTCTGCCTCTGAGTAATTGTTGACTAAACAAAAACATAAGATGGAATCCGCGTTGAGGGATGTAATTTTATATTAGATTTTTCCCTCCACCAACATATAAACACTGTTTTCTCAGTGTGTAACCTCCCGAGTGAAAGTTGGAAAAAATTACTCGGGTGGGACTCGAACTTACGACCTCCTGCTTTCTAGTGCAGATGTCATATACTACTTGACCACCGAGCTTGTGGGATCAGTTGGCTGGTTCAAAAAATTTCAAACTTTCACTCGGGAGGTAACACACTGAGTACATGTATAAAGTGTTTAAATACGTCAGTGAAGGGCAAAACCTGATATTAAATTTACATCGCCCCGATGTGATTCCATCTTATGAATAGTTTCTTCGCAGTACCAGCTGCAGCGTCGGAATCGAACCGATCCCGTAAGCTCGGTTCGAGTCCCACCTGAGTGAATTTTTCCAACTTTCACTCGTGAGGTAACACATTGAGTATACAGTGTTTATACGTCGGTGAAGGGCAAAACCTATTATTAAAAGCAGCTTATCAGCCAATGTACCAAGTAATGTTGGTATGTTGCTTGTAACTTATTTGCTGATTCATCATTCATGCCTTGTAGTTTCTGATGGCCCTGACTATTACAATGGTCTTTAACTATAACACTGTTTGAGCTAACTCTTGGTTGATATAATATATCTTCTATGAGGGCTCACCAATTGTTCCTTGGCGTTTGATCCTTCAAACATCATCTGATCCTCCTCTGCCTCTGAGCTACCATCGTCATCTTGGGGTCTGCCACTTAGTAACTAGAACAGAGGGGAGTCAACATTTATTAATTAGTTCTCTTATGTCAAAATAAATACCAAGTTTTGTGATGCATGTTATCGACAAAAATTGTAAGTGTCAAAGTAGTTATCAAAAGCTGATAACTGATCGTGTATGTGCTTTAAAGTGACTTTGTTTGCAGCAACGTTTTCCCCTTAAATGGAGGCCACAAAACTTTCAGCAAATTCTATCAAAATCTGTCCATGTATGGAACAGAGTCCTAAAAAAAACAAGTAGGCCTATATTGCAAGCAACTGATTTTTGATAATGTGTTTCAAAAATGCAAGTTTGTTTGCAGCAACGTTTTCCCTTTAAATGGAGGCCACAAAACTTTCAGCAAATTCTATCAAAATCTGTCCATGTATGAAACAGAGTCCTAAAAAAAAACAAGTATATTGCAAGCAACTGATTTTTGATAATGTGTTTCTTTTTCAAGGAATTATAAAATCCATTAAACCAGTTAATTGTGAGAAAATCCTTTTCCTGCTTCATCATGTGTGTTGTGAAGCAGGTGTTCACTGAAAACACCAGAAGAAATATTTCTGTTAAACAATTTTTTTTGCAGAACTGAAGGCAAAACTGCCCACAGCTGTACATTATGTTTGAATTTTATAATCTTTACAGAAATCGTTTAATTTCTCGTGTTTTGTACATCTCTCTTTGCACACACTGAAGGGTTCATTCCGTTTCATCTACTGGCGAAAAGGAAAACTTTGGCCATAAATATAACCATTTTGGCTTGTAACATGTGTGGTTGTCTATTTGTTGGCATTATTATTGTCTTTCTGTCAGAACAGTGAAATAAAAACAAATTCAGCTTTCTCTACATTTTGCAGAACAGTCTCTGCACCTCACATTTGAATAATAAGTAGCATAACTGACATACAGTAAAAGTGTAGACAATTCCTTTACTCTACAAATCTGTTTGTTCTTGCATCCTTTTGCCTTTCTGTCTGTTTATCATACCAGTTCTTGTAGCTGGTTCAGCAGTTTCTTAGTATTCTCGAGGTCCCCCGTCATTTCATTGTGTTCTTCAAGGAGGGCCTCACTCCAAGCGATGGAGGACCGCCGAGAGCTTGATCGTGATCTTCCCTCCTCTGGACTTCCTGTTGAGAAGCAGAAAAAAGGGAAAAACTAGTCCAGTTTTTTAATATGCAAATCGCATTGAAATGTTTAATGTACATTGAAAAAACGAATTCTGCAAGACATTCAAGGCAATTAAATGATGTTTTGCTGTTCATGCATTTGTACGTTTCCAATACTAACACCACTCAAAATCTAAAGAAGAATGTTCAAAACCTAATAACCTGTTGAAAGGTTTAAAAGATGCATATCTTCCCATACTATAATAATGTCTTTCTCTCAGATTCAAAAAGTCTGTTTTAGACGATAGTTTGAATAAAACGCATGCCTGTTTACACAGAAATGTTACTTTTAGCCGTCACTTGAGTAAAAGCAACAATTATAGCCAATTATACAAATAATCTGACACAAACCTCCACGTTTTCTTTTAGTCACTCCATTGGATACACATACAGCCCACTGGAACATTGCGGACGATATCCTTACATGCCTTACAATTAGTCAATCGTTGAGGAAACAGCCAACGCAGTCAATGGTTGTGAATGAACTAGTTTTTAATGTCTACTTGCGATATCATTTTAGCTTTCTTATTGAGGGGAAAGAGGAAGTGTCATTTTATCATTTCAGGACATGGATGGGCGAAATGTCGGTGACTGCATAGCGATTATGCAGACAATGGTGATACAGTTGTGTACATGTACATGTATGAACTAGTTTTAACGTCTATACTTGTGACATCGTTTTTAGTGGTCTTAACATGGGGAATAGGGAAGTGTTATTTTATTATTTTAGGACATGGATGGGCGAGATGTCAGTGACTGCATAGTGATTATAGAAAAAGATCGTGAATAACGCGATTTGGACTAAAGGAACAAAATAAAATTTTTAAAAGTTATTAAGCCAACATAAATTTATAATCGCAAATATTTTGAGGAAAGGAAGATTGCTAAACATCGTATCAAACATTGCTTTTACATGTACATGTACGTTATACTACATGCATAATGAGTAAATTATAATAAGAGTTACATTTGGGGAAATACCTTAGGGAAACTTGTGCACAAAAAAGCCTACTTTTGATGACCCATAAAACCCTAACCTAAACTTATCCTATCCTCACTAAACTTTGTAAATTTGGATTTTGCATCAACAAGGAATAGATTTAGCCTTTTTGCAACATTAAACTAATGCCTAGAACTTGAACAGCACCTGAAAAAATATGGAGACATTCGAATGGCTCCCTAATTGTCTCTCTAAAGTAATAACTTTTTATGATAACATGTTTCCCTATAAAGGGTGCATTTATAGAATATGGCTTTTTTACAGGGTAAACAGATTTTTACCAGCTTTTAAATTTTCATTTGTTCCAAATCTGGGATGATTTTGTCAAAACTGATTAGAATTTATGTTGCGTATTTATAAAAGAGTTTCAAAAGTACGCATGATTTTAAGCCAATATGAAACAGAACATCTTCAAGTAGAATTTACAAATTTGAAAGATACTGTTCACATTTTCAAAACAAAATGTAAAAAGAAATGTATCACTGCATCAATGGTTGTCCAAAGAAGAAGTAGAAAAAAAAAGAATACTGCTTTAAAAAAAAACATTTGATACAAGGGTGTGAAATTAATTTTAGGGCATTGGTGTAAAGAATGGAATATTTAGTCTGAAACACTGTGATTGTACTTTTTGTTTATTTGTCTGAATGAAAGTGAAATAATAAAAAGTCCACACAGCACCAGACAGGAAACTAGCAGGAAACACAACTCCAACGTCTGAGGATTTCCTGGCCAATTCTCAGACCTCAGGAATAACAAAACAACATAACAAACAAAAATACGACGACAAAACAGCAGTTGTTGTAGACTTTCCCTTCTACGTGCGCTCGTCTTTTAAAGGCACATGGGCTCATTTTGAATTGATTCCAAAAGTAACCTAGTAAATTATTATCACAAAGTTTATGGATAAAAGATCGTACTGGTACTAAACACCTCGTGGATTGACTAATGTTTGGCTTGCTGTCATTTAGAAGAAATAAAGAAATGTAAGTGATTTCCAATGATCAGTCAATTGACTGAGTCTCGGAATAAAGAGAGCTATTGACAAATTGTGTTTTGTGATCAAAAGGTTGTGCTTGGTTTTCACTGTTTTCACGAAAAGTAATATCCACTGAGCTGAAACTGCAACAGGTTAGGTGTTGAAAATTGTCTTTAGATTTTGAGTGAAGTTAATATTGAAAATGAAAACAAAAATCTAAAACAGTCGGTGATCTTTATACCTTTAATGTTGAAGTTGGTTTTATTATTCATACTTTTTAATAGAAGATTTTTGGAACATAACTCAAGTGCCTTATTTGCTCTTTCTATACATGTGTAACAAAAACTTTTTGATTGAGACTATGCCAATATTTGGCATGTCTAATTCTGTATTATGACAATGAAGGATTTTTTCCAAAACAACGTGAGTACATGTAACTGTGAAGTTGCTTCAAAATGCAAAGACTTATTTTCCTACCTTGGTCTGAGTCGGACATCTGGGGCACGCTGCCCACATGCAGCCTGGGACTGCTGGTGATGGAGCGATCACTGGACCGTGTGATGCTGCTAGGGGTGGGACTGGGTGAGGGTGCTACCATGGAGGGGAGGGGGCTGGCTCTGGAGGCTGGACGCTCGCTGTCAGAGCTGTGGAACAACAACATGAAACTGTGAAATATACTGCAAAGCCAGTAACCTCTTGGCAGATATTTGTTCCCATGGCTTTCCCACAATTTCTCCCTTAAACGTATATAGGATCATTTGCATTTTATCCCAAAAGTAACCACCCAAGTTATTATAAAAAAGCTTACTTGGATTAAAGATTGTACTGGTACTAAACACCCCGTTCTTCTCTTGATTTTGAGTAGTGTTTGGAAACAAACAAAATGCATGAGAAGCAAAATGATCCCATATGCTTGCAACGCATATGTGATTTTTTCTTGGAATTTTTTAATGACTTCCATTTCATCCTGCAAAGTTCATTTTGACCAGAAACGGGATCTTTTCATTTTTGCTATACTCGTCAAGTTCAACCACAATGGACTCTTCCTGTCTGTCCATCAAACAGTAAACCAATTGAATCAATGCAATTTGTAAACCAATTTGTGTCAGGTGACCACTAAAGCTCTGTAGCTTAACCAAATTTGGTCAAGATGGGTGGGGCTTATGGCAATATCTGGAACGGCGGCGTTTTAGCTAGAGGGGTGTCTAATACAGGCCCTGTAGGGCATTCGGGACATCATATTTTGTAATGCAAACATAAGTCAAAGCCATGGAAATAAAGCAACTTGAACACCCTTTCTAGGCAAATTTGGACACCCATTCTTCAAGTGCCGGCTACAGCCCTATGAAACGATCCATTGACTTTTCCCACAATCTTTCCCATATATTTCCCAAGATTTGCCAGATTTTCCTCAGGACTTTCACACAATTCCAGTTTGTCCATGTTTAGGAGACGCCCATACCTTGAGCTAGCCATTAACCTCTGCTGTATCTGGTCTTTAGTGGCCGGGGAGGTGGAGTTGCGACTACGGAGGCCCATTCCTCTGATTAAAACATAAACAAAACACAAACAAAGGCATGCAAAACAAAAAATTCAAGAAATACTCAAACAAACAAAAACAAAATAAAACAGCAAAATCAAAATAAAAGAAAGCAAAAGCACATTGACGCAAGTTCACTGGTATCTTTTGGCATGCATAATCAAAGATTTGTTATAAAAAGTTTAATGTACACATTTTGACTCCAATGAGATGTTAATAAACTTGTGTGCCTGAGAAAGCAAAAGGATGCTGTGAGAAAAATAAATATGTATGGGCAATTCCACGCAAAAGTGGACACGGATGAAAAGTGGCAAACTTATGAAATCTTCAGAACTACAAGCATCAAATGTGGTCACAACCTCAAATGTGGTATCAAATTAAAGGGGGACAAGACCTTTCATTTGAGTGGTGTTTCAAAGAGATAGAATATGGTTAAGTTTAATTTTTTTGGCAAACAAACTTTTGCTAAAATTATAGATGTTACATGTAGGTAGTTATTTTGGCAACTTGTTTTTATATGCAAAATGACTATCTTAGTGTGCTATTTAGTTTTTAACCCTAACCCTCCTGGGTATTTTGGCTAGAAACCCTGCCACACGCAGCAACATGCAACACTTGTTTAAGTGACAAGCCTGCCCAGTGCAGCAAGATCCATCAGGCCAAAAGTCTCAAGGCCAAAAGTCTCAAGGCCAAACTGCCTCAGAGTCTGCTGTCACTGAATGCAGCAGGATACAACTGTGGCATTGTTCAATGGGACTAGCTCTCATTGTCTCAGAAGCGGCCGTTTATGCACTGGTGTTGGTAGCTGAATGCATCAAAGTGCACCAGACTTTTCCACCTGATGCACTGTGCTGCGTCTGGCAGGGTTAGGGTTAAGGCAACGAGAAAAATTAACATTTTATGCCAACAATTTCTGATTGCGTTTGATTTTTAATTTTTTATATGTTTTAACTTCTACCAAAGATGGCAAGACAAGCTGTTAAGCCAGTAACCGGCTTTTTTTTTAAGCATCTTTACCTGAATATGGTCTACCCTTTTTTGTTTTCATTTTGTAGAACCTTTTTCTTCTGTTATTTTCCTCATAAAAACCAGTTGAAACAGAAGCTCTGTGGTCTTCAAAACTTTCATTTTCCCTTTTATAAGTCTAGTGTGGAAAAGTAATCCTACGATAAATACCTGAGATGCTGTACTAAAAATCAACTGTTAAACCATCAGCACCTTATATTACATTATATACTTTTTGATACAATTCATAAATCACAGAGTGCAGAGGCAGTTTGGGGCGGTATAAGGAGTAACAGGCAGAGCGGTTTAGGGCAGTGCAGGGACAAATGAGTTAAAAGTGTCAAAGCTTTGACAAAGAAAACAGTCATCCAACAACTGAACAAAAAATAAATATACATGTAGAACAAAAAATAAATATACACGTAGAACAAAAAATCAAAGTGAGGAAGTTTTGAATCTGGCAACTTTAGATTTGCTGTTCCTCTGAACCCTCACCTTTGTTCTCTGTATCGCCGTAGCGACGACCCGGCCCCAGCCGCCTCCTTCCGGACGTCGTGGATGGCAGCCGCGGCATTGGCTGCCATGGCAACAAAGGAGGCCTGGCGCTGGGCTTTGCGCCCGGTGGGCGTTGCGGAGGCGCTGGACGACTGGGGCGTCTGCTTGACGCTGCTTGGCTTGTAGTGGGCCGCGAGAGCTAAGATTAGTCTCATGATGGCCTTCAGATTGCCATCGACGATGTCTATTGAGAAGATGAAGATTATTTATAATAGTCATCATCTTGTGGCCATCTTGATTTTTTCCCATTCAAATCAACGTTACCAAAGCGAGGCTGGAAGGAAAAATAGTCTGGTTCCTTTTTGCACAAAAAACATTATCATTCAGTACTGTTATTGGATACAGGGAACATGACTGAAATGGTGGCAGCATGATAAAGGTCTATTATTGTATTATGAGACTTTGGGACCTTCCCTTTAGGACTTTAGACCAGTCGACTCTTGTTAATACAAACTCGGCCGGACTTAGCCAAAATGTTTGTTATATCAGAGTTTGGTATTAAGAGAAGTGCCGGTTCCATTGACTGTGCACAAATGCACAGTCGGGACCAAGGCTTAATTGTTCACTATAACCAGAATATGCATCGTTCATGCAGGCCTGTGGGGTACCGTATGTACTTATATTTTTCCTGATGCCTATGGCTATTGATCAATGAAAGACTCTCGTTTGGCTGATTAAAGGGAATATACAACATTTGCAAACATCGAAAAATAAAACTACCGGTACCAAGTTTTTACGAAAAACCTTACTAGGATGTTGGTAAATGACAGTCACAAGCATTCTGTAAAATTACGGCACCTGGTGTGAAGGCATTTTCAACCACCATTGGAAAAACCTAACTATTGTTTAACTACTGCTCCATATTTACCATTTGTTTCAGTTCAAATTGTGTTTGATATTGGTTACGTTCATGAATGGGTGCAGGCCAGCTAGACTGGTTCCCTTACCTTACAATTTTCCCGCATCTATAAATTGATCCATTTCATCTTTAGTGGAGTCAGGGAACCAGACTACTTGAACATTTTTGTTTTTCTTGTTTTTTTCCGAGCATTTTCGGACACAAAACTTCAAAAATGTCAGTGTAACAATATTTTGATCTATTATAATAACCCCTCAAGTAGTTCATTTCTGAAAATTACAGTGAAAGCCAATGATGTACATTCCCTTTAATATGCACAAGGTGTTTGTACATAGCAATACCTACCCTTGGCGGACGTGTGGTGCATGCGAATTCTCTTTGACGCCATGAATTGCAGCACACGTTCCACGTTTTCCCTCATCGCCGTCGTGGTCTGAGGGTTGTAATCAACTCTGGCCAGTGTCTCCCCAGCTGAACAAAAATAAAAAATTATATCAAATAAACATGAAGGACAAAAACTCCAGATCAAAAGGCCTTTTTCCACTTCCATTTTCCTCCCGGTTTGAAATCAACACGGTAACACAGTACCAATTTACACTTCTGAGTGGAGAGAGGTAAGTGGAGGTGAAGTGGCTAGCCCAAGGACACAACATATGACCAGCATCTGGATTTGAACCCCTGACCATCTGATGACGAATCACAAACTTTAACCACTTGGCCAAACCCCCTCTCTTCAGAGTGCTAAATGGTTCATCACTTCAAGCTCTAACATTCTGATGTAAAACTGAAAACCAGTAAATAAAACCATTTAGAAAACATCACTTCTCTGAACAGTGTACAGCATTCAAGTTTAACAGGTTACATTTTTGTAGTTGTTCAGCTTTTGTTGCTTCAACCGAGCATAATGCACAAATTACAAAATGATGGACGCTACCTTTAAGTTCAGTGGGAAAAAAAAATTAAGGTCATTCTCAAAATCTTGTGTTTGTTTGCTTATACCGATACAATGTATCGAAGTAATCCAAGCAGTATTCTAATAACAGAACTGTTCCATGTCCCCACAAAACACTTGAACAGTAATTTCATGAAAGCACTGGATCCATGTCATTCACTTACAGACAATTTCCACCAGATGAACCAGCGGCACGCCGTCCTGCATGTCCCGCCTCAGGTCCTCGATAATGCGGCATCCCTGTCGCTTCTTGAGCTGCGAGTTGACCCAGGCTACGTATGCTTGCAGTTGTTGCTGTAGTGGGGAAACAAAGAAGAAGACAGGTGCTTGGTTATGTGAGATTAAACCATGTCACCACTCCTGAGCTTACCGGTTGCTTAAGTGTCTAGACAAACTTAAAACAGGTTGTGGCTTTCCGCTACTTGACATGCCTAAGATATGAATGGCTGCAGGAAGTCTACGCTGCAATTGTTCATCGTTGATTGGATAAAAACTTTGGACCAATCTATATTCGCGAGGATGTTTTAAAACGCATACTGTAAAACAAAAAATGTGAGGAATAAAAAACATTAAAACATGTGACCAATACACTGGAAAGACGTTATTTTGCAACTCTTGTACGAGAATACTTCTGCCAAATGTAAGTTTGTGGGATTTTTTAGTGACAGCACCCCAGTGGTACAGAAACATCAATTACATCACGTATGTACCGGTGTGTACCGGTACATTTCGGTAAAACCTCAGGAATTGCAGAGTCCCAAAGGGATTAATTTAAAATCCTGAATTCAGGACACATCCTGACAACAAAAATAAACCAGAAATCAGGATATAAATCCTTACAAATCTCACCCCTGGTAGACCTTGCCTACCGGTAGATTACATTTCATTGATTACATTGACCAATAAAATGAATAAAATTCATGAGACTCCACACAAGGCCACGTATGGATGTTCCAATAATAGGGCCAAGAAAAACACAAAAGTGTTTCCTATTACATTTACACACACATTATTTTTTAAAGGGTACGATAGACTGATGGATAAAAATCAGTGCATATGTTGGTTTTTTTTATTTAAAATAAAATGGTTATTCATTTATTAAATTTATTTACCGTATTTTATTATAATTTTTTTTGCATGCATAAGCCTACGTTGCACATAACAGTTAACTCGTGAATCCACTGTTTATTCTGCATTTGCTGTGCTGATCCTATAGGCTTTGCTGAACGGTGTTGCAAGGCCGCACTGCCCACCAACTTGCATTTAAATGAAAAAACAAATTTCAAAAATTGATGAACGATGTTTTCCAAAACAAGGATGGGGCAGCACCATAATTTTTAAAATTATTTTTCAAATAAAAAGATTTTAAGGTTCTGCATTATTTTCTAGGTTGGGTCTGGTAACCGGGAAACACAAGTTTTTGTTGTCTTGGCCCAGCCCGACTGCCCAGTCTGCACTCCAATGATTTTGTGACATCGCGCCATATGGCGCAAGGATGATTTTTACTGAGATGTTATTGTCTGATGTTGGGAGGAAAAAATGAGGCATGTAATAAATTACACATTTTCTATTTGCATTCTTTCCTTTTTTATCAATATAAATTTATTAGGTATTTCTTTAATTATTCCTGTTGTTTTAATAGTATACTATTTGGGTGGATCTTTTTCAAGCTCCAACATTCAATTTATTCCTTTTTTTTAAATTGAGGGAGAGCATTTAGTAACAGTGCACGATTATGATGACTGATTTACACGTAAAAACAATGCAAATGAAAGCTACATGTAAAGGTTACTTTTTTTCCCTTTTTAAAAACTTAATAACTTTTCCTTCACAGACTGAATAACGGAAGAGTAAGGATGCAACTTTTCGTTTAATTTTAACGTTGAGGAAAATTTAAATACCGTTGAAACTAAGCATTTGTTAATTTTACAACTGCTGATGTCTGCCCATTAGGAGCCTATGTCTACAGAACAGCGTGTTTGTTCATCAATGATTGACATAATACATGTAAATGGCGGGCATTCATTGAAAAAGTAACAACTTAACTACGGTCTGTGTACCCTGAATGTACATGGAATCAAGGACTGTGGTGCTTCTGAGGTTTTGTAAATAAAATATGTTTGAAAACACTGTCAATTAATTTTGCTATGTATGTTTAACTCGAAGGAAGTGTATTCCTTTTTTTTATAATTTGGGTTCCCTTTAAACGTTTTAGAAAATGTGTAAATTTTCTTTTAATCGTTTTTCTCTTTTTTAAACCTCACATCCATGAAGGGGTAGCTTTTTTTCTTCTTCCACATCTCAAATAAAACTACGTACATATACATTTTGTACATGCACGTCTATGTTTCACAAATAAAGTTGACAAAAAATTATCTTCAAACTGTAGGCAAATTTTAAGAACTACCGTAAATGTACCAGTATACACATACCTGTACAATACAAAAATATCACCCATAAATGAGTAACAAGCAAGTAAAATTATTCCCTGCTATTAAATGTCAATGTCAATTACATGTACAATGTACATGTATAGCAAACTGTGCAGTAAGACAACAATATGACATACATGTAAGTATTTAATCAGGTAATGAGGTACATAGGCCTACAGTACATATGTGTACAAATTTCAGTTTGCAAGTGAAACTGAAACTGTAACATGTACAATTTTACATACATGTACAAATACCCTTATGAAGTTTACATCTACATTGTACCATGACTTATTCCTCCATGATTGTACATGCACATGTAGACCTATTGTACTTTGCTCAGTGGAGACTGAAATCAACTCCTACATGTACACTGTACATGTACCCTACCCAGGTCCACAATGTACATGTACATTGTACATGTAGGCCTTCACACACTCTTTAACAAATTATATTTTTACAATGTATCTCTTAGCAAATTTATAACTATAGGGCCTATAGGCTAAATATTTAATTCCAAACCACAAAAATTAAGCTATTTTTATTTATTTATTTATTTTTTGGGCATCTGCAAAACCCTCTAAAACAAAAAGGTTTGTGTTTTCGGGATAAACAGATATGCCAAAAATTACAAGCAGACTGGCTCCCGGTCTCTACATGTACATTATCGATACTGATTGTGGGGTGCGAACCAGCCTACCCTGCGAGAACGGCATTATTGTCGCCGCAATGCTTTCAAGATGTTAAGTAATACCGGGTAATTTAGTTTACTGAACATTGGCCGATCTTTCAGTCAATTCTTGTAATTAGGCCCTACTAGAAAAAAAAATATTTAGAAAAAGAATCTATTTTCGGGATGAAACTAAAAAAAAACATTAGCAGGGTACTGCAACTTTAAATTTCATGGCTATCTTGAATGTTATATGCAGATATTTAGCAATATACCGTTATACATTTAAAACTTACTCTACAGAGTCCTTGACTAAGCTGATTATTTCGAATAATAGTACCACTAATCCCTTTCCAAAGTACATGTACATGTACATGTAGTTTTTCTTTTGGTTTCTTACGTATCCAACCAGGCAAGCATGTATACACAAAGTTTTCTCATACCCGAGATGATTTGATTTGATTTGATTTAGATGAAACCAACAACATGCACTACACATCACAATACAAACAAAAGAAAGCAATGAACAGTTGATTTTGCCTGTGATAGGCCTACAATGAATAACCCAAGACGCCAATAGGCTTATTTCGCTGGGGTCCATCTGCATGCACGCATCACTGCATTTCTCTCACCCAGATCAGAAGATTTTGAGGATTTACTTTTTGTTGTCTGCTACTTTATTCTTAAATCCCTTTCTTTGTAAACTGGCCCAATTGGGGGAAACAGTTGTTGACCCAACAATGTACAGTCATGTATAGTCAACGCGCCAGCTTTCTTCGAAGGATCAATGTACATATATGTACATATACATGTACACATAATGAAGAATAATAAAGAATCCTGCCATCTCCTGGTTGCCCAAAGACATTTTTTTTGTGTGGTAATCATAGATTTGCAATATATTTTGTCTTTTGAATTTTTTTAAAGCAAACGTTTTGTATTATTACTCACAAGTTCAAAATCTGTTAAAATGGGTGAAGGCTGCTTTGGGCCCAAAAGTATCAGCAAACGAGTTGAGAAAATGGAAGAACCCACCTGCCATCTTGGGGGGGGGGGGGGGGCGCTCCTTCCTTTTTTTAAAAAGCCCAAATGAGACACAATTTTTTTTTAACTTTACAATCCCCAACCATGCCAACCTACCTCCTTGTAGAGATTCCACGCATAAAGGACGCACCATCGCTCGGCCAGCAGCAACCGTAGTGACCTGACCGCCAGGGAGAATTGTTTGACGCACCCCCCGTGCCTCCTTTCCTGGCCCCGCCCCTCCTGGGTCATGACGGAGTTGGTGGAGGAGGCGTTGATGAGTTTGGACTGGGAGGTCCAGAGCAAGTGCTCACGGCTCACGCTGGCATGTGATTCCATTATTGGGTTTTTAAAAATCCGGCGGAAAATTCAGGCAAACTTAAACACAGAATGAACTTGTACAATGTACAAATGTACAGTACATACACGTAAATGATTGTGTATGGTAGATTGCTACCTACAATACGTTCATCTTTAATGCTTCATCCAATCGCTATACTGTGACATGTTTCAGAAGATTCATGAACTAACAATCACGGACAAGTTTTGTAGACGTTTATGTTTTCTTCATCAACACATGATGCAATTGATCATGTGTCACGAGTCGAGAAGATGCACCAAACCATAATTACATTCTAAATCCTTAAAAAGGACAAATCAAAGGAGTAAACTGTTATCTCAGCACAAGTGTAAGACTCACAAAGTAACAAGCATTTTGTACTGTAAATGATCAAACTACTGAGGTCATTTTCTTCCAATCTGTCAGAGCTGCGTATCCTTTGAGCATGTCAAGCATCCTTCACAGTCAACGGGTAGCCTAATTTCAAGACAACAGGATGTGCACGAACTCGTGTGCACAATTAGCGAGTTCACTGCGGTGCAATAACCACAACCGTTCACAGCCTTAGAATGAGTCTAATCACAGAAGTCAACCCGTTCAAGATTTAATCGATCCAATCTACAGACAGTGCAGGCTAGATGATAACTTGAAATCTGTAGGCCTATACATCTCACTACAGATCATTTCACCGTTTACACATACCACTTCAGTAGCAGAATCACTAGTTCTAAATGTGTACACGCTGATACAATCATTACAATGTAGTACAATCTTGACGAGCATCTTCATAGGACTATCCCCGGTTGTATATTTCCTTAGAATGCATCAC